TTTCCCCGAAGTAACTCGCACACTATTAAAAGCGTCCCCGAAGCCAGGCTGTCCCACGGGGCTAACATCTGCTTTCCTGCCTCGGCGCCCTCCATCACGCCGTCCTCCCCCACCCCCTGATGGATCGCGCTTTGCTTCCGCATCGAGTGCTTGCAGCCTGTCTGATCCACGCCCCCCTCCTCCATAAAGCCTGAGCTCACAGTGGCCTCCCCCTGCCTGAATTCCTGTTCTTCCTGTTCTTCCAGAGAAGGTTGTGTGAGGGAGTGACAGTGAGCAGCTCTGGGGGAGGGACAGACCTGAATTCAAATGCCAGCTGCCACATACCAGTCCTGTGGCTTTAGCATGGTCACTGAGCTTCTACAAGCTCTGGTGCCGCCTTGCGTGAAACGGAGGGGACCGGAGTTAGCTCATGGGGCTACCGTGCGGGTGACAAGTGTAGGGGACGGGGTTGGTGCTCAGGAAATGTTGGAGCCCCTCACACACAGCTGGCCTTTCCAACTCAACCGGAGAGCTAGACCCTTGCTCCCCCACAGCCTTGTGCTATTTGTACTCTGCCTGGGGACCTGAGTGGGTAGTTTCTACTCTGGTCCCCACTGTGTCATGCAGGGGACCTGGCCAAAGGCAGGGTCAGGACACGCCCCCAGGGGGCAGCAAGGCCTCTGGGATGGCCCAGCTTTGGCTCTGAAGGTGGGGCTGGGTGAGCGGGTCAAGGTAGCTCCAGCCCCAGATGTGGGATCCCATTGAGGAAGCCCGGAAGCCAGGCTGCCACGTTCCCGGAGGGCGGGTGTGGGAAGCGATTCCAGGCTGGGCATCAGCTCTCCGAGTCAGTCCACACACTGTCCCGGGGAATCCACCGTGGGCCGCACTGGTCACTCTTCCCACTGTGGGGACAGCCGGCCGGGCGCAGATCCAGCCTCTCCAGAATGTTCACGCATTGGCTGATGTTTATTTGCCAGAGACTTATCTTCCTTGGGGGCTAGTCCATTTCACCAGGGCCAGACAAACAACAGCTTGCAAGATGCCACGGGTCTTGGTTTCCCAGTGCTGCTGGCAGCCTGCTCAGGCTTCTCTCAGTGGTCACTGTCGCCACCGCGCACAGCTTCCTGCCACCCTTCCAGGCCAGCAGCCCTCCAGTAGTAGCCTCGTCCTGGTCCCACCTCCTGCAGCTGCGGCAGGACTGACTCCTTCAAACCTGGCCCACAAAACCTCTCCGGGTGAGGGCTCCTCTCGTGGTGGCCTCGCCTCTCCCTCCAGGCACTGCTTTGCCCCACCCCCAACCCCCACCCCTGCAGACCTGCCCTCCTCTCTTTGATGCTAGTAGAGTCAGCTCCCCAAATCCTTCTGCTTTTCCCCCAAAGTCCTCCCCTCAGGGTGTGACTGCCCTGGCTGAGCCCGAGCCAACCCCCAGAGTGCCCTGGAGCAGGAGGCGGTCCATCCAGAGCCCCCGCCCTGCCCCCTCCCCGGTATCTCCCTCCCAGTCTGACACCCACTCTTCTCTGCACCCTTGGGAATCCTGGTTCGCTCCAGACCACATCTGCAGTGTAGACTCCGTCCGGTGAGGCTCAGCCCCACCCTACCCTTCCCTTCCACAGCCTCCCTCCTCCCCACCTCTCTGCACTGACCGGCTCAGTACGGCTGGAAGAACCACAGGGCAAACGACGCTTCGAGAGCTGGTGATGCTGAGAGGAAGCTTTAAGGACTCCCGGAAAAAGCCACAAGGTGACCCCAGACTCAGACTCCAGGAGCATGAGGCTCGAGGGACAAGAGACAGGTAAAGTACGTAGAACTGGGCGGGAGGGGAGAGTCAAGGACAAGGACAGGTAAGGAGTCCGGAGGCCGGGGCTGGGGAGCTTGAAGCAGATAATGGATGAGCAGTAGGATGGGCGGACTCGGTTTAGCAGGGGGCTGGGGGCTTCCGCAGGAAAAAAGCTGGGA